GATCTACTAGTAGATCTCTTGATAATTTGCAGGGTTTCTGGCTCCCAACAAAAATGACTTTTCCCACCTCAGCTTGGCTGCTGAACTGAAGAATGCTAACCAGGAGAGGAATTTTTCTGCGAGTTCACTTCAGTTCTGGTACTAAAAACAAATTCCTTAGCTCAGTCAGTCAGTCAGAAGGTGCTTAAAGGCACACTGTTCTTTAATTCCATTTTGACTGTGAGTCCTGGAAGACCTGCTCCCTGCTTTACAGGCCTTTCTCCCCCTGGCCTGGGAGCACAAAGCCCTGACTGACTCCAGCTACAAAAGCTAAGGCTGCTGGATGGGCTGATGTTTCTTTGTTTGGTTGAGGAGATTGGTGTTGTTGTTGCTGTTAGTATTTTATATCTTGGTTTTAGATCTTGTTGTGACTTGTATGGAAATTGTTCAATTTGGTTGTGTATTCTTTAAATGTTTTATTTGTTGTTTACGACTGCTTTTGTTATGTTGCAGTTTTGTATTTTTTCATTTTGTAAACTGCCTTGAGCATGGTTTGAACTGTGGAAGGTGGCATACAAATGAAATTACCGTATTTTTCGCTCTATAAGACGCACCAGACCACAAGACGCACCTAGTTTTTGGAGGAGAAAAACAAGAAAAAAAATATTCTGAATCTCAGAAGCCAGAACAGCAAGAGGGATCGCTGCGCAGTTAAAGCAGCAATCCCTCTTGCTATTCTGGCTTCTGGGATAGCTGCAGAGCCTGCATTCGCTCCATAAGACGCACACACATTTCCCCATACTTTTTAGGAGGGAAAAAGTGAGTATTATAGAGCAAAAAATACGGTATGTATGCATGCATGCTGTTCTACTGTCTGTCTTTTGCCCCTGGCTCTGGTTGGGAGATATTAGGGTTCAAATATAAAACAAAGTAGTAGAACCAACAAGCCTGTTGTCTGCCCAACTGTGGATTAGAGACTTCATTAGCTAGCAGAAGCTCAGAGGGAGAATTTGATCCAATGGTTGGTATGAACTGTCTCCTACAGCAACATGCTTACAGCACAATCCTAAGCATGTCTACTCAGAAGTAAGTCCTGTTGAATTCAATGGGGCTTACTCCCACGTATGTGGGACTTAGATGACAGCCTTAGTTCCAAAGGAGAGGAAGGGAAAGTTGCCAACAGAAGGAGATCTTGCCAGTTCTTTGGGGAAATGATCAAAGCCAATGGGATGCAAGTTATATAAAGCTGCAAGGACAATCCCACAGGAATGTATTTCAGTTTCCTGGAGGACAAGGTGCCAAAGAACTCATTAGGGGCAGGGAACTAGATTTCAACATGATGCGTAAAAGAAAGGGAGAAAAAGCTCATTGACAAAGCAATCACTTTTCTTAGGGAGCCAGCTGCTTTTCACTACCAGCCAGTCCATGTTCTCCCATTCCAATTATTTAAGGCTATTTGCACTACAAAGGAATATTTGCTATGGGATTGCTAAAGAGAAGAATCACAGTGTGAGAGAAGAGGAGAAATATTGATACCGGCTCTCCAGCTAGCATTCCCTGTTCTCAGTCTTGTCTTCTTCCCTTCATATTTATGAGACCCATTGAAATCCTCAGAGAAATGCTGAATTGTGCGAAAATGGCAAAAGGGGCCAGTACGTTATTCCATCTGAGTTCAGGGTGTCCCAACAACTGTTCCTTCTATGTTTTTGAGTCCAGAGAATGATTCACTTTTGGCAACGAAGTTCTCTGTGTGTACAAAATGGATGCCTTAAGAGCAACTCATCCTTGTAAATAAACAACTGCAATTACTGCTCAATTTTCCCAACTTGATAAAACCATGGGTGCTTTCCTACTGAAATCAATGGAACCCCAAAATATTTAACTTCAATTGAATCATGCACCACCAGGATCTATATTTTAGGACCTGGATATTATTAATATTTCTGGTTAATCAAGGGGAATTAATATTTGCTAAGCTATCAGTTTGTGTGTTTGCCAAGCTATGTTTTATGTAGTAAGATCTGAATCCATATCCTGGGACACAAAGCTCTGGATTGTCCTAATTTTTGTTAAATTAATTTCTCCTTCCTCTGTTTCTAACAGGCTAACATAAGTACATCACATTCTTAGAGGTGATCCTGGACAGATGTATCACAATTTCAAAACTAATTTTGTAACCCATTTTGTGGAGTGTTATGGTCTTGGAAGTCTTTTGCAATGGACAAAATGGGTATTCAACATATGTAGGGAAGCTGGGGCACATACATCACCCCTGCACTGGCGGTGTCCTTGTCTGTGCCTGCTCCACTACGTGAAGGAGATTTCTAAGCATGTTCAGCTGAATGTGCTCAGAAGGCTTCCTGTGACTGACAACATCACATTATAAGGGTTCCAGATTGTGGGCAGACTTCTAAATGCATTCAGCCAAACATGCTTGAAAGCCCCCTCTAAATCTTCCTACTGTGGACTGTTGGGGGTGGATCAAGTGAGGGTGTTGTGGGCAGGGCAGCGCATGCCCTCTATGCACTTCCTGGCTTGATACATTAGTTGAATGCCTGGACAGGTGTCCAGAGTTACTGGAAACTCTGGACTGAGCTTTAATACAGAAATCATCATCTGCATTCCCTGTTATTGGGTAAAAGCAAAAGGAGTTTTGGCTCCTGGCTTTATGTTACATTACCTTTCTATGGACAGCATCATGCACAGAGACTCAGTGAGCAAGCTAGTGGGTGATTCACCCTCATTACTTTTTCTTTTGGTGCTCTGACAGTGATGTATTTGGATCAATTAAAAGATTCATCTTGCAAAATGGGATCTTCATTTCCTACTGATTTTGCATTTTTCCATTTGGCAAAAGCCAAGATCAATAATTGACTGTGTTTCTAGGCTTGACAAGTGTTTACTTCTGTGGCAGTGCAACTGGATCCCTTCAGCTTTTCCATCCCTCTCGCTTCCCGAAAAGGATAGATACATCATTGTGATCAGAAACTTCTACTGCTACCGATACCTCTTTATTTAGAACCCCGTGTGCTGGGAAAAATAAGACAGCTAGGCTTTAAGACCAAAATAGCTGTGTGACACAATGGTCCGTGTCCCTTTCCCCCTTTTCCTGTAAAAGAAAAACAGCCTTGGGAGGCTACATATAGAAATGAAAAAGTGGCAGGGAGTTGTTTCTTAATCCTTTCTCCTACTGCTATTCATCTGCTAAAAATGAACCCCCAACTCATTTTTCTCCCTGTGAGGATCTTTCCCCGCATTGGTGAAGAAGCAGCTGGAGTGAGGCAATACTGTGCAACAATTAAAGAGGCTTTGTGATGAGAAAGGGTATTGTAAAAGAAAGTGAGAAAAGAGGATATTATTAACTGGCAATATATTATAAAGGAAATGCGTAATAAATATATAAATATGAGGATTGTGGGAGGAGCTGGTGGAAGTCAAAAATTTGTAATATGGCAAATATGTAAATGTTTGAATAATTTGTAAAAGAAAAATTTGTTAAAAATTTAATAAAAAAATACTGAGCAACAATTGGCAGGAAGAAGAAGGGGTTAGCAGGCCCTCCTCCATGGCACTTCTACTTGCAGTAGCATCTTTCAGACCCGGCTTTTCATGAGGGGGGGGGGGAGCAGGTAACTCTAGGCTCATCCAGACTTCCTTTGGCACCACACTTTCCAGGTCCATGCTTTGCAACCCTACTGAAGTTTGTTCAGAAGTATGTCCATTTGATTTTATAGAATTGTAGAATTGCAGAGTTGGAAGGGACCACTAGGATCAACCCCCTGCAATGCAGGAATCTTTTGCCCGATGTGGGGCTTGAACCCACAATGCTAAGATTAAGAGTCTCAGGCTCTACCCGCTGAGTTACTACGCAAAGGATTGAATTCAGCAAGAAAGGTCCCAATTTAAGGTGTTAGTATTCGCATCAGGGTCCCTTCCAACTCTACAATTGTATGATTCTATGGTTCTATAGAAAGCTCTGATTGGCTTGGGACCCAATTACCTGAAAGAGTGCAATCCCCAGTACCAGCTGTCTCAGTCCCTATGACTGGCAGGTGTGGTCTTGCTGGCAGTGCTGCTACTGGGGCTGCCCAGTGGAGCTGACCCATTGCAAGGCCTTTTCAGTGGTGGTTCCCCAGTTGTGGAATGCCTTCCCTAGGGAGATACACCTGTCTCCATAATTATTAACTTTCAGGAGGATTTGAAAACATTCCTGTTTACCCAGGCTTTGGTGGCTGAAGCATACGGATCCTGGCAACCCTCAGATCACTGGATGGAACAATGTTTTGAACTGCTTCTAGAACATTTTTAACTGCAGCTGCTTTCAGATGGTTTCAATTGCAATTGTTTATTGAACGTTGTAACTATTTTAGAAAGTTTTTGCTTTGGTTTTTTATTGTCAAATTGCACATTTTCTGTTTGCTGCCCTAGGCTCCTTCAGGAGAAAAGGTGGGATATAAATTCAGTAATAAATAAATGTGTGCCAACTGTTTTAAAAACTGGTTCCAACTAACAGGCTGCTTTTCCTTTTTTTTTTTTACCTTGTCTGGATTTCACTTTGCACTCTGCACATGGTGGGTGACATGTTGTCTGAACTGATTCCTATGAGCAGAAAGAGCTCATAGCCCCTCCACTCCAACTATATTAGACTTTATTTTTACAGTGGCATTTTGCACTTCCTGCAGCTTCCGTGGTTTAGCCCTGGTGCCTTTATCCTGGTCTTCTAGGAGCATTAAATTGCTACCCTTCTGAACTCCCAGGGCAGCCTTTGACCCTTACCCTAAGGCGGCTTTAACAGCCCAGCCAGCAATAACCTGACATAGTCAACGTTAACAATGGTAGCAACAAAGGAGGATTAGCATAGAAAAACAATTGCATTTAGAAAGAATGGGGGAATATGCACAGAACTGTCACTCGCTTTAAAACACAGGAATGCCATTTACTGCCCATTGAGGCTGGCTGTCATTTGAGTTCTGCTGCTTTGAAACGCAAACCTAGACACACAGATTTACTATAAAGTTAGGAGAGGACAACATGCTTATATAGAGAGAGAGTAAGCTCCGCGTTTTTTCTTTTCTTTTCTTTCTTTAATGTGATTTGTTGAACAACACTCGCGGGGAGTTTTCTTGCCCCAGCAGAAGGAAATGTTCTTACACATGAACCTTTCAGCAAGCCAGGCAGAAGGACATGCGTGTGGATTAGATGCCAGGAGTTTGGCTGCCAGAGAAAGACGTTATTGTTGTGACTTTCTCCTCCGCCCCTCGCTCGCTCCCACCCACCCCTCTCCGAGAGAATCTCTGAGGAACGGAACCGGAGAATACACACACGGCTTGCAGGAGGGTCATTTGCATCCGAACCGGACTGCAGTGAGGAGGGAGAGGAAGAGGGGGAGGAAGAGTCCTGGAGGTTAAAACACACTCAGGCAGGAGGAAGGTCAGGTGGAAACAGGTAAGCCCTGGGCAGGTGTCCTCTATCTGGGGATGGCCTACCCTAAACAAGAGAAAAGAGGGACTTCTTTCTTAACCTGTAGCCAGGTAGGACTTTCCCCTGTCTTGTTGATCAACAGGTATTTTATGTCTGGGTCTTCAAAGGCTGCTTTTTGTTTCGGTTGGTCATGCAAAAGTTCTGTCAAACAAACAAAGGAAAAGTGAAGTACTGTAAAGAGGTGGTTAAAAATGCTGAGACTGTTTCCATAGCAGCAAAACTTGGGGAACCCCCTTTTTTTCTCATATGCTGCACACATCCACATACATCTGGTGTGTTTATAGCCTTTGCCAAAGCAAGTCGAGTGTTTCAGAAGTCTCACTATCTGTAAGCTTGATTCATAATCAGAATTTTGTAAGGTATGGGGAGATAGGAGGTGAGTTTTATTTTCAGAGAGGAATATTAGGTTGTGGTTTCGTTTTTTCCTTCTAAGTGGCTTCCGTTAATTCTGCTTGCACCGCATGTGCAATTTGTAAACGGTTTTGGATAGAAAGGAGTTAAGAGCCCCTAATTAGTTTAATAAAGCAGATTCAATTCCTCTTCGCACTCTCGTAGCTGAGAAAATCGTACGATGTTTATTTTTTCCTTGAGGGAATGACTACAAATTCTTTGCATTTCTGAGAATTTAGGGCTGCTTTCTGTTTTGTCACAAAGAGGTGAATTTTGGAAGACAGACTCATTCTCCCACACTCAGAGATTCCAGTGGCACAATGGGTCAGTGCATCTGGCTGTTAACCAGAAGGTTGGTGGTTTGAGCCCACTCAGGAACAACTGTGGGCAGAATTCCTGCATTTCAAGGGGGTTGGACTAGATGACCCTCAGGGTCCCTTCCAACTCTAGAATTCTTTGAGTCTATGACTTGGTCTCTAGTTCAATTCCATAAAAGTTTCGATACCTGAAGAGGAGAACACTTTAAAATGAGTGATGTGATTTAAGAGACACTAACTGCAATCCCATAGACACTGATTTAGGAGTAAGTCACATTGAACTCAATGGGATTTATGCTGAGTAGGCATATATAGGATTGTGCCATAAGGCTTTAGTTCTATATATGCACTTATGAGAGAGTAAGCCCCTTTGGGCAGAATGGGTCTTCTTCTGAGGAAGCATGCGTAGGTTTGCTCTGGTACACACCAGTATTTACAAACCGCATTTACTTGGAACAATGTCCCATTGATTTCAATAGGTTTTTCTTCCAAGTGGGTGTATGTAATCTCTAATAAGGTTACTTGTAGCACCATCCTATATTTGACTACTCACAAGTAAGTCCCACTAGTTAAATGGAGCTTTCTCCCAGGTAAATGGATATAGGATTGCAGCATGAGTGTTAAGATTATTCAGTTTCTCATATATATATATATATATATATATATATATATATATATATATATACTGCATTAATGTTTTCCTAGGAAGCAACACACACCCCTGGCTCCCAAACACAGATACATGGTTGTTGATTTTTTAGATGATTAGTTCTTGTCTTTTAGTCAAAGAAATCTATCTGGCAGCCCATTTCAGTTGCTTATGCTTCCACAGATTTTGAGAGAAATTCCTAACTATCTGTTCTCGTGGAAATGTGGGAGTTAGGAGAGAGAGAATAACTACTCCTGGCTTATTGAATATGTAAGTTAGAACCATTCTTTGAGTAAACAGGTTTGAAGGTAACTGGGACATGGGCTGCATACACCCCACACATTTAAGGCACATACCCCCTACCTGTAAAGAATATTCAGAACTGTAGTTTACCCTTCAGAGCACTGCAATTCCCAGCACCCTCAACAAACTACAGTTTCCAGGATTCTTTGTGTGTATGAGGCAGGGGTGCTTTAAATGTGTGGTGTGTATGCAATCCATCTTGCTGAGCCTCAGAGATTTGCTTAGGAGCTTCAGCAGCCAGTCCACATTTATCTAGCATTTACCCATGGAAGAAAAGCTCACTAAAGCAGGCTTTGGGCGCACTCTTCGCAATGCCCCTTTCTTAGCCAGTAGCACCTCCATTCCTGGTGGGTTTAGGAAGTCATGTGCCTGCTGGGGGAAGGGCTATTTTCATGCAGGATGTGTACTGCGTACACACACACACACACACACACACACACACACAGTCTTTCCCTCTTGGAACAGAATCCAACTCATGTGATTTTTACCAGAGATTAGATGTTCAGAAGAGGAGGTTGGGAGCCTTCTCCTCCACTATGAAAGGGGGGGGGATAGATGAGGCTGATATAGGGGCAGAACTTAAGCAATCAGGAAAGGGGCTTGGAATTGAACGGGCACTTCGCCTCTGGGGGAGAAGGGAGCTTTCAAGCAGCCGGGCTGAATTACCATCAATGCAAGCAAATCAGAAGTGCAGGATTTGGACTGCACTTTTGTTAGCTCTTTGGAAAGCCTTCCCTGTTCCTTGTGACTGGCAAAGAGCAACTGGAAAGAACTGGAGGTTCCAGGGAGATCTGAGGTTGCAAACATCAACGGCAAGCACGAAGGCACAGTACAGGGAAGGCAAAAGTGTCGCCAGTAGCTGGTGTTACTAACCATACTGGTTAAGGGTGTGAACTGTGATCTGGGATGCCCATGTTCCAGATCTCATCCCAGCTACATCAGGCAGCTGTTATTTAGGGGGCTGGGCAACCAGTTCTAGCACTACCAGTGCCTGAAATGAATAAATGGAGTATCATTATAGAGTTGGAAGGGACCATGAGGATCATCTAGTCCAACTCCCTGGAACGCAGGCACATGTAGCTGTGTTAAGAGGATCTGCTTTGTATGCAGAAGGTCCCAGGTTCAGTTCCCAGCATCCCAGTAGGGCTGGGAGAGATCCCTGGAGAGCCACTGCCAGTCAGTGTGAATCAGGTCAACATAATGCCCTCTGGATGTTGTTGAACTCCAACTCCCATAAGCCCCAACCAGCATGGTCAGTGGTTAGGAATGATGGGAGATGTAGTCCAATAATGACTACCCTTGGTGTAGATACTGAGCTTGATGGACTAAAGATCAGACTTGCTATGAAGCAGTTTCTGATGTTCCTATCCAAGCTGCTTCAACCAAGAAGTTGGTGAAGACTAGGGCATGATCTGTGGAGTCTGTATTCAGCAATGAGTTGCTGGGAATATTATCCGGGCCAAAGGGACCTGTGTTTTTTCAGGAGACTCCCTGCACTCCCAAGTTGTGTGTGCTGCAGTGCCAGCCCACGTGAGCACGAAATTCCCATCCCAAGACATGTCCTCTAGGCAGGCCTGTTGAAAAGACTGGGAGGCACAGCCTGTGCTGTTCGCTTGAATTTTTTCTCATTTTATGCTGTGCAGTTGAATGGGGGAAAGACAAAGGAGAGGCATTTCACCGTATTTTTGCACTCCGTCTGGGAATTGTATATACACCAAATAAATGCATGATGTTTGCATTTTATTGTGCTGCTTTTGAAATGTGGACTCGGGCAGATGGAAACATAAAATGAGCCCTAAGGGATGTAAAAGAGTGCAGGCATTTAGCAATGGGGTTTTTCTTTTTCTGTGTTGCAATATCACAGGAATTATCCAGCCAGTTGATTCCAGATGCTTTCTGTATGAGGCACACCCCATCTGCATGCAGGCGCAGAAAGCCTTCCCTGCAGACAAATGGCTGGGGTGGTCGAGGCTCCCTCCTTTAACCAGCCCACAAATAATTTGGAATGGTTAATGGTATGATGGCTCCAGCCCAATGCAAACACTCTCTTGCCTGGCTTTTCAGTCATTCCAGAGTCTGCGGAGAGAGATGGTCTGCAGCTTCACCTCTCTGGTCTTCAATGTCTTTTGGAGACAGCAGAAGAAAAGACTATTTTACTGAGGGTAAAGTTTCCTGCTTCTGTTTTAAGTTCAGGTACACCCAGCTTGGACTTCAATGCAGCTTCCAAGAGGCAGAGAGAACCAACATTTCATTCTGATAGGGAGAGGGGTAGGAAAGCTACCCAAAATATCCACAGTTGTCTCAAAGGAATGGAAATTGATTATACACATTCGACAAGCATATGTGAATCTTCATGCTTTACTTAGGCTTTACAGCATGCTTGGTTTGTGCTTGGGTTTAATTTTTTCATACAGAGTTTGAATGTTTCTGTCACAGACTGGAAAAGAAGGATAATGACTCATATAAACACTGGAAAGAGAAAGAGGAATGAACAGAGAGTCAAGGCCTGAATGTTATGGCAAAAGTTCAGAATCCATGCTGTCTGAGTGAAGAGCTCTGACTTCTAAGGACCAAAGTACATATGACAGCAACAGATCCATGTGCTTCTATCTGGATCTTTTCCAGTTACAGTGGTACCTCGGAAGTCGAAAGGAATCTGTTCCAGAAGTCTGTTCAACTTCCAAAACATTCAGAAACCAAGGCACAGCTTCCAATTGGCTGCAGGAAGCTCCTGCAGCCAATAGGAAGCTGCGATGGACGTTTTGGTTCCAAATAACTTTCGCAAACTGGAACACTCAATTCCAGGTGTGCAGCATTTGGGAGCCAAAATGTTCGAATTGCAAGGCGTTCACCAACCAAGGTACAACTGTATATATAAAGTGGGGTTGGGGTTGCAATTTAGGGGGTGGGTAGATGCTGAGGCTCAAAGGGGCAGTAGCTCAGTGGTGCACCCCATACTGTGTATTCACAAAGTCCCATGTTCAATCCCTGATATCTCCAGATAGGAAGAACTGAGTGTGAAACTCTCAGAGTAGACAGTACTGAGGAATAATGGTCTGACTCGCTAGTCCCTTCTGCATTATACACTTAAAGCAGTATCAGACCACTTTAAACAGTCATGGCTTTCTCCAAAGAATTCAGGAAAGTGTAGCTTCTAATAGCTGCTGAGAGGTGTTAGGAAATCTCTATTCCCCTCACAGAGCTACAATTCCCAGAGTCCTCTGGGCGAAATGGATTGACTGATAAACCACTCAAAAAATGTAGCCATGCATGTGTGGTGGTGGGGAATAGGGGCCTCCTAATGA